GCCGTCGAGCTCCTCGCGGCGACGGTGCCCCGGTGCCTCACGCTCGAGAAGGCGACGGTCCGCGCGCCTTCGAGCCGACTTCGACGCGGGGGTCGTCGGCTCGCGCGCGCCGCGGAGCGCTCGACGAGCGCGCGCGAATCGTCCGACCGTCGGCTCCGTCGACGTCGACTTGAGCGCGTCACCGTGTGAGTCGCGCGCAGGTCGCGGTGGAGTACAACCCGCTGCCGCGCGCCGAGGCGCCCGCGCCGGACGCGGAGGCGCCCGGCGACGAGGCCGCGCCCGCGCCGGACCCGGCGTGCGTCTTCGCCCGGTTCCTCGCGGAGAACGTGCCCGCGCGCGCCGTGAGCCTCCGCGGCGACGGCCTCGGCGACGGCGGCGCGCGCGCCGTCGCGGACGCGCTCGCGCGCAACACGTGGGTCCTCACGCTCAACCTCTTCGACAACGGCATCGGCGACGCCGGCGGCGCCGCCGTCGTCGGCGCCGCGCGCTACAACACCATGCTCAAGACCCTGAGCCTCTCGAACAACGCGTGCGGCGACGGCACGGCGGCCGCCGCCGCGGCGACGCTCGTCGGCGGGCCCGTCGACGACGCGGCCAAGGCGGCCCGCGGGGCGGCACAAGAGAGCGAACTTCCCAACGTCAAAGGCTCCGATCGCGGCCATGTTCCACTCGTTTCGGCTGATTTTTGGACGAGCGATTGTCTCTCGGAACGGTCTCGACGCGTGGATGCTTTTTCCGGAACGCGCGCGCGCGGCACACTCACATTGAAGCGACGTTGAATCACCCTTTTCCCGCCCAGGCGGCCCACGAGGCCGCGCTCGGCCGCCTCGCGGACCTCAACAAGGCCATCGCCTCGGGCAAGAAGCCCAAGGCCAAGCCCGGCGAGCTGCGGCCGCCCGCGCGGGAGCGCGGGGCGCGCGCGCGCGCGCGACGTCGCGCGCCGCGCGCGCGCGCCGGACCGCGGGGGCGCCGCGCAGGCTCCCGCCGAACGTCGAGGAGGTGCCGCCGCTCGAGCCGCTCGTGTCGGCCGGCGGCGCGGACTACGCGCGGGGGAACAAGGCCCTCGAGATCCTCAACCTCTCGAACAACAAGATCAGCGACGACGGCGCGCGCGCGGCCCTCGCGGCCTTCTCGCGCGCGGCTCCGGCGCCCTTTTCGCGGCGCGCGCGCGCGGGCGAACGCGCGCGCGCGACGCAGGCGAGCCCGTCGACGGCCTCGACTTCAAGCTCGCCGCCGCGGTCCGCGAGGTCAACCTCACGCGCAACGGCATCGACGACGACGTCGGCGTCGAGCTCGCGCGCGTCTCCGAGGACAAGGTCGTCCTCTGAGGGGCGGGCGCCGTTAAAAAACCGGGGCGGCCCCCGCGGCGCGTCTCCGAGGACAAGGTCGTCCTCTGAGGGGCGGGAGCCGTAAAAAAACCGGGGCGGCCCCGCGGCGCGTCTCCGAGGACAAGGTCGTCCTCTGAGGGGAAGGCACCGTTAAAAAACCGGGGCGGCCCCGCGCGCCCTTCAGAGGTAGGCGGCGGGGAGGCGGGGCTGGGTCACGGCGAGGAGCAGCGGGCAGGGCTTGTCCCGGCCCTGGAGGAGGTGGAACAGGTCCGCGCGCGCCGGCGCAAGGATCGTGGAATGTGCTGGAGTAGCGTCGCGGACGCGGCGCCGCGCGCGGCGCTCGATGGACTCGCGCGCGTCCTTGAGGGGCGCGAGCTTCGGGAAGGGCTTCTTCGGCGACGGCGCGGGCCGCGCGACGGCGAGCGCGACGCGGACGCGGCTCGCCGTCGGCGCGGACGAGAGCACGCGCTCCGTCGCGCGGCGCTCGAGGTCCGCGAACTGGGCCGCCGTCGTCCCGCCGGGGACGTCGAGGACGACGTCGACGAGCGCGCCGCCGCCGGGCGCGCGCGTCGCGGCGACGGAGCCCAGCGCGGCCGCGGCGCCGCCGCGGAGCCGCACGCCGCCCGCGAGGGCCGCGGCGGCCGCCGCGGCCGCGGCCGCGTCCGCGGCGTCCGTGAGCTCGAGGAGCGCGTCGGCGCAGGTCTCGTAGCCCATCTTCGCGACCCAGCCGGCGACGACGAGCGCCGCCGCGGGGTCCACGAGCGGGTGCACGCGCGAGCCGACGACGCCGAGCAAGGCGACGACGGACGAGAGCGCGTCGGAGCGGTGGTGCTTCGCGTTGGCGAGCACCGCCGCCGACTTGTGGAAGCGGCCCACGCGGAGCGTCGCGCGGGCCAGGAGCTCCTTGGCGACGACGCCGCAGGCCGCGACGGCGGCCGCGGGCGCGCACGGCCCCGCGGGCGCCGCGGCCGCGCGGCCCGCCGCGAGGCCCGCGACCTGGGCCCAGGCGAGGCCCAGCCCGCCGGCGGCGAGCATGGCGCCGATGATGAGGGCGCCGACGGACCCGGCCTTGCCGCAGCCCTGGGGGTAGAGCGCCGTCGGCGGCGCGTTGTTCATCCGCACGGCCGCCATCGCGACCGCGTCCGACACGAGGTCGCTCGCGGAGTGGACGGCGTCGGCGATGAGCACCTGGCTGTTGCAGGCCACCCCCACGACGGCCTTGGCCGCCGACGCGACGACGTTGACGCCCGCGCCGGCCACGGTGATCATCATCTCGTCGTCGTCGAGCGTCGAGCGCAGCGTTGTCGCGCGCGCCGGTGGTCGGCGCGTTGGCGTCGGTGCGAGGAGGGCCGTCGCCGCGGCCGCGCAGAGGAGGAGGACGGTTGGGCGGTGCATGGCTGCTGGGAGAATTGGAAAAACGCGAGGCAGGCCGGCGTCGTCTGGCGCACGAGGCGTTCGAGTCGAGCTCGTCGAGGCACGCGCTCCCAAAGATGTTGCGGCTAGTGCAGACAAGTTGAATCACCAGTGCGCACTTTCCTCGAGCGAACGGCGACAGCGTGAAGCTCCATCGTGACGGCGACACTGACAAAAAGCGCAGCGCGGCGCAACGTCGACGCGCAGCGCGACATCGCGACGCTGATGAAGCCCGCATAGGTCTCGAGCGCGTCAGATGAGGTGAACCACTGTCCGCGGGGATGTAGAAGTGCTCCCCCTGCGACAGGACGGGCACGTCCCGGCAGCCTTTCGACGTGTGCGCGGTGCCGCCGCCGTCGAGCAGTGCGGTCGGCGTGAAGTAGTGGCTGTCGGGCTGCCGGAAGGCCGGCCCGCCGTCGAGGTGCAGGGTTGTCGACATCGACGCGTCGTCGACGATGGCGCGCACGCAGGATGCCCAGGTCACGGTCCGCCTTGCCCTCGTCGAAGAGCGGGAGCGCGCGCGCGTCCCGACATAGGCTGAGGTCTTCTGGCCCTTGCTCGACGTGAGGGGCCACTTCGGCGGCGGGTGCGCGCGCGCGCCGTCGGCGAGGACGTCCACGACGAGGCGCAGGACGCCCTCCTCCTCGAGCTCGACGCCGGCGTTGTACTCGACGACGACGCAGGGGCACCGCGGCCCTAAGTCGGAACCATAAGTGGATCGCTCGGTATTTACGGCGACGCGGCGCGGAGGGTGAGGACGATCGTGCGCACCGTCGACAGGCCGCCGGGCGGGATGTAGGCGAGCGTGAGCAGGCTGAACCGCGGGTCCCCGCCCAGCCCCCAACACAACACAAATCCCCAAACGGCCCGCCAGCTGGCACGGGCTGCCGCCGCGGGCAGCAAGGAGGCACGCGCTATCAAAACCAGGTCGTCCAGCCCATCGTCGATTGCGACGGTCCTTGGCTCCATCTTGACGCTTAGCAACCGCGTCGATCCGCCCACGTCGCACCACCTCCCCCGGCATCCCTTCGGCACATCGCGCAGCAACGCGTTGCCGCCCAAACCCGCCTTGCACTTCTGCACAACCCACGCGATTTCAACACACGCAAAACGAAGCCATGAAGCTCGTCGGTCTGTTCATCTTCGCCCCGATGGCATTGGCTTTCCGCGCCGGCCCCGCGGCCCGGCGCGCCACGCCGCGGCGCGTGTCGCCGCCTGGCCTCGCCGGGCCCGCGTCGCGACCGGAGCTCGGCGCGATCGCCGCGGGAAAGTCGTCGCCGTCGGCCGCGGACGGCGAGAAGCCGGCGTACATCTTCAACCTCGTGGCGTCGCTGTTCTTCTCGACCTTCGCGCTGATCGCACTCCTGCCGACGCTGCCGCCCGTGCCGATGGCGCAGCAGGCGCCCAAGACCCGGCAAGCCGAGCGCGCGGCGCTCGTCCGCACGCTCCTCGACAAGAAGGGTATCCAGTAGGCGGAGTCCGCTCGCGGTACGCGCGTGTACATAAAGCAAGGTAAGCTCGCTGCGAAGCGAGGGAGGGCGATGACGCGCGCGCCCGGAGCCCGAGCCGCGAATCCCGAACATCGCCGAGGACCCGCGAGTATGGCGCGCTCGCCCGCCGAGTCGGCGCCCTGCCCCCCTTTTCGGACGCGGCTGCGAGGCATGAGCGCCGTGGATGCCGGCGCGCCATCGACACCTAACTTGCCTGCAAGCCGAATATGCCGACACGTCGCTCGCTTAAATTTTTTTACCACTGCGATTTGCGAGGCCGTCGGCGCCGCGACCACACCCGCCGCATCTCCGCGCGACAACCCATGCTCCCAAAGTTCCTCCTGCTCGTCGCCGCGACGGCGCGGGGCGCCGGCGTGTCCATCGTCGTGCGCAACCTCGCCGGCGAGGACGTCGTCGTGAGCTGGCTCCAGCCCGGCCGCGAGCCGCGCGGCCGCGTGCCGCAGCAGGAGAAGCCCCTGAAGAACGCGACGACGATGTCGATCAACAGCTACGAGACGCACGAGTTCATCGTCGCGAGCGTCGCGCCCGCGGCGGCGGCGCGCGGGCGCGCGCGCGGGGCGGACGCGGACGACAACTGCGCGTTCTGGGCGTCCGTCGGCGAGTGCGACGCGAACCCGGGCTACATGCGCAGCTCCTGCGCGGCGTCCTGCGCGTCCGCGGACGACCGCGCGGCGGCGGCGGCGACGGAGCGGTCCGCGGTCTTCGCCGTCTCGGACTCGCCGGAGACGATCTCCGTCGTCCGGACCGCCGGCGGCGCGTGGGCCGTCGAGCGCGCGGGACCCGCGCGGGACGCCGCGGAGGCCGTCGACGCGGCGCTCGCGGCCTGCGGCGCCGGCGGCGCCGAGGCCTGCGCGAACCCCGACGAGGCGCCGGGCTGCGCGGCCGCGTACCTCGCGCGCTGGCTCGCGCCGCGCCGCGCCAAGCTCGAGCTCGAGCGCGGCCTCTTCTCCGCGTCCTACGACCGCGTGCCGGCGCCGCTGCCGGACCCGGCCCACGAGAAGGCCGAGCCCGAGGACCTGGCCCGCGTGCACGCCACGTACGCCGCGGGCGCGCGGCCCGTCGACGTCCGCGCCGCGTGCGGCGCGGACGCCGACTTCGAGGCGTGCGCGCGGCGCGTCGCCAAGGCCGCCGCCGTCGCCATCGCCCAGGGCACGGCCGAGGCCCAGAAGGCGACGCGGCGCCGGAGCCTCGAGAAGCGCAACGCGTCCTGCGCGGCGCACGCGGGGAACAGCGAGACGGTGGGAACCGTCGAGTGGACCTGGGCCGGCGCGGGCGACGCGAGCGCGACCTGGGGCGCGACGCCGGCGCGCGGCGCGCGCACGGGGCCGGAGCGCGCGCGGACCGTCCGCCACCTCTTCAAGCCGCCCGCGGAGCCCGCGGCGCTCATCGCCGTCGTCGACGACTTCGTCGACGACGACGAGTGCGCCGCGATCATGGCGTCCGCGAAGCCGCGGCTCACGCGGGCGACGCACGCGCACGAGGGCGACCTGAGCCACGTCTCCAAGGCCCGCGACAGCCAGCAGGCCACCGTGCGGCCCGCCCGGGGCGCGACGGACCGCGACCTCGACGACCCGATCGCGCGCGTCAAGGCGCGGTCCGTCGGCCTCGCGAACTTTCTGTCGAACTACAGCCTGGGCCTCGACGGCCAGGAGGAGCTCATGGCCGTCCAGTACAACCCGGGCCAGCAGTACATGCTCCACTGCGACGGCTCCTGCGACGGGAGCCCCTTCGTCGCCGGCGGCCGCCTCGCGACGGTGCTCATGTACTGCGCGGCCGCGGACGGCGGCGGCACGGCCTTCCCCAACGCGAACGTCCACGTCGTCCCGGCCAAGGGCCAGGCCGTCTACTTCCACTTCCGCGGGCCCGAGCCCGACGGCGTCGTCGAGGACTGGCACACGGAGCACAGCGGCTGCCCCGTGCGGAGCGGCGAGAAGTGGGTCGTCACGCAGTGGCTCCGCGACGGCGTCTCGAAGGAGTTCCCCCACCACCGCTTCGACCCCAGCGGCGGGCCCATCGGCTAGCGCGCGCGCGCGGGCGCCCCCGACCGGCGGGCCTCTGCGTACTTTTTTGGGCCGCCCCGCGTCACGCCGATCTCAAAAGGGCGCCGCGCGCTTGCCGACAAGGACGGGCCGCGGCGTCGGCCGCGCGCGCGAGGTCCGCGTCAACGCCGAGAAGGCGGCGTTGGAGCGCACGCCAAAGCCGACGTCGGCGGCGATCGGCGACTTTCGGATGCACTCCAAGGTCGTCGCGGAGCCGCCGCCGGGCCGGAGCATGCGCGAGTCGACGTTCTCGTCCGGGTACCCGGGCTTCGACGTGGATGAGTCTTAATCCTGTGTTAGTGAGGGAGCGACCAGTAGGAGACGATGGCGAGCATGACGTCGCGCGGGAGCGGCGCGCACCGGGAGACCACGCGCAGGCAGGCGTCCTCGTGCTTCCGCGCGCGCGCCGCCCATCCGCCCAGATAGGAGGGGGCAGGCGTCCTCTCGTTGACGATGCCGACCATGTAGTCGTTGAGTTCCCGGTTGGCCGGCGAGACGTCCTGAGACTCCAAGACTTTCGGTACCGCGCCGGCGCGGAGCAAAGTGAGGGCCGTATTCCGGCGATTGTTGCTGACGGCGACTTCCAAAGGCGTCCAACCATCATCGTTTTTCGCTTTGAGGTTCGCGCCGCGCTGAATGAGAAGCTTTACAATGGGCTCGAATCCAGATCCACAAGCGATGTGTAGAGCGGTATCACCATCCTCGTCACAAAGGTCGACTTCCGCGCCCGCGTCCAGAAGAAGGCGTACGCACGCATACCCCTCGGGCCCTTCGCCCCAGCCACATGCTGTGTGTATAGGTGACTCGTACCCGGCGGCGGCCCGATTCGGGTCCGCGCCTCGCGCCAAGAGCAAACGGCAGCATCCAACCAAAGCACGGGCGGAGGTGAGCATATATTCCGAGTAAGGATTCCGCGAGAGCGGAATTAAGCAGTAGCTTATCCAGGGAATTAAGCAGAATTTAGGGTCGGCGCCGCGCCCAAGGGCGTCGCGCAGCGCCTCTTCATCGTGTCTAAGTACGGCCCTGAACGCGTGTAAATTTAGATTAGCCACCTCCTGGCTCATGCTTTGGCCGCCGTCCCCTCTTCACTTCGTATACACAATTTGGCACAAAATGCCACAGGCGATCAAATCGGCGCCGAGCGTCGCCCGCGGGCGCGGCGGCCGCACACACACCGTCGGACGAGCTAGTTATCCGCCGCGGTCGCGCGCGCGAGGACGACGCGCGCGCGCGCCTGGAAGACGGCCGCGCGCGCGACCTGGAAGGCGACGAAGGCCTGCCAGAGGCCCCGGGGCGTCGCGATGGCGCCGCGGCGGACGGCGGCGTAGACGGCCGGCGGGAAGAGGAGGCCCGACGCGAGGTAGGCGAGGCCCACGAAGGCGAGGTCCGCGGACGCGAGGAGCAGGCCCTCGCCGTGCGCGACGGCGCCGTGGACGGCGACGGACGCCGCGAGGGGCGCCGCGAGCGTCGCGAGCGTCGCGCCCACGGCGGCGTCGGGCGAGAAGAGGCGCGCGCCCCGGGCCGCGAGGCCGAGCGCGGCCGCGGCGACGAACCCCGCGGAGAGGCCCGCGAGCCGCGCGAGCGTCCGCGCGAGGCCCGCGGCGGCCGGTGCGTCGCCGTCGGCGGCGAGGAGCGGCGGGAGGAAGGCCTGGGCCGTCTGGCCGGCCATGGCGTCGAGGACGAGGGACGCGAGGAGGTAGAGCGTGAACGCGAGCTGGTGGCTCGCGAGCGGCACGGCGCCGAGGCGCGCGGCGCCGTGCGTGAGCACGCCGAAGCTCGCGAGCTTCGACGCGACGAGGAGTAGCACGGGGCCCGCGAAGGTGCCGAAGCCCCGGCCGTTGGGCTTTCGCGCCCCCGGCGGGCCGAAGAGCAGGTCCCGCGCGTACGCCGCGGGCCCCGCGGCGCCGCGGCCGAGCGTCCGCGCGGCCTGGACCGCGAGGACGCCGCAGGACGCGGCCTGCGCGAGCGCCGTCGCCTCCGCGGCGCCGCGCACGCCCCGGCCCAGCACGCCGACGGCGAGCACGTCGCCCGCGACGTTCACGGCGGCCGACGCGGCCATGGCGACGAGCGGCGACACCGCGTCCTTGGACCCGAGGAGCGCCGCGGTGAGCGCGTTGCCGACGAGGAGGAAGGGCAGGCCGAGCGCGCGCACGCGCACGTAGCCCGCCGCGCGGGCCTGGATCTCCGCCGCGCCCGCGCCGGAGCTGCCGATGAAGAACGCGAGGAACGGCGCCGCGGCGAGCCGCGTCGCGACGAGGCCCGCGACGCCGCAGGCCGCCGCGAGGCGCGCGCCGCGGCGGACGACGTACGCGCGCTCGCCGTCGCTCGTCGCGCTCGCGTAGAGGTTCGTCGTGGCGATGTTGAGGAACGCGAAGGCGTAGCTCGCGCCGTCGCACACGGAGCCGCCGGGCCCGAGCGCGGCGATCTCGAGCGCGGACTCGGCCGCGGGCGAGCAGAGGCCCACGGCGCTCGTGTCGATGAGCGTGAGCAGCGGGCCGGAGATCCAGAGGCCCAGGGCCGGCAGCGCGAAGTTCCGCAGCTCGCCGAGGCTCGGGCCCGACGCGTCGGCGCCGCCGCGGGCGGGCCGCTCGCCGTCGGCGGCGGCGGCGCCGGCGCGCGGCCCGCGCCGCGCCGCCGCGCCGCGCCGCAGCGCGAGGGGCGACCGCAACGCTGCCTGGGGCGACCGCGGCACTGCGTATGCCGCGACGCCCGTCAGCACGAGTAGTGCGCCCAGGCGCGTACGCATCATTGCTGCGAGTTCTTGCACTGCTACGCCAACATCTCGCCAACAGGGGCAATGTCTACTTCAAGAACTTGCGGAGCAGCCCACTGAGCAGCCCATGATCAGCTTATGGGCCGCTGGCTCGCATCCCCGTCGCCGTCGCACGACGCCGAGCCGTCGCCGCTGCGGCCGTGACGCCGGCGGGATGCTGCGCCGCGTCGCCCTGCTGGCGCTCGCGCCGGCGGCCGCCGGCGCCGGCGCCTGCGTGTCGTCGTCCTACGACTACCACCCCATCCCGGACCTGCTGCGCCAGCCCATCGCCGACGAGTCGGCGCTCAACGCGCTCGTGTTGCGCACCTGCGGCGCCTTCTGCGGCGAGTCGCAGCTCGTGCGCTGGGACATGGCCGTGCCGACGCTCCGCGTGTCGCACGCGTTCGAGCGGCGCGTCCGCCCCCGGCGTCCCCGCGGCCGCGACGGGCCGTCGGGCGGCGTCGGCCGGGGACGACCCCCCCGCGCCGTCGCCACCGACGCGCGCCGCAGGTCGACATCGACGGCGGCGCGAGCTCGCTCGACCTCCTCTTCGCGCCCGAGGTGCCTCCGTCGCTCGCGGCGCAGTGGCACTGCGGGCGCCCGGGCGGGAAACGAACGTGGTCGACACGACTTCAACATGCATGTAGTCGCGCGATTTCGACATCGTATTTTTCACCCTCTGCAAAGAACTCACCGAGAGCACACGATCCGTCCAAACATCGGCCGAAACGACGTCGACGCGACCGAGATGGAGAGGCTTTGCTGGACGGGGCCGTTCCACCGGTCGTTTCCGGCGCAGGCGAGCGCCTCGACCTCGGCGGCTACGCCTGCCGCCAGCTCCGGGACCTCGGCCGGCGCCACTGGCCCGCGGCGTGGTGCGAGAACTCGGACGACGCGCCGCGGAGCGCGCGCGGCGCCGCCGCGGCCCTGAGCCCCGACGACTCGAACCCGGCGACGCGCGCGGCCCGCGCGGGTTCGGCCCGACGGCGACGCGCGCGCGCGCGACCGCCGCGACGCGCGCGCGTCCGCCGCGCGCCGCGCGCCCGACGAGCGCCGCGGCGCCGTCCGACCGCGAGTCGCCGCCGCGCGCGAGCTCGCTCGCGCGCGCCGCCGCGCGGCCGCGGCCGCCTCGACGCGGCGGCCGGCGCCCGCGCAGGCGCGCGCTCTGCGACTTCGACCGCGCGCCCGGCGCGCACGACGAGGCGAGCTGCGCCGGCGTCTCGGTGTCGCTCGCGTCGCCGCGCGACGGCGGCGCCTACGTCTACCGCCGCGACGCGCTCGTCGAGGTGCGGCTGCGCGTGTCGCGGGCCGGCGGCGCGTCCGCGGACCTGCGCGACGTGCTCGGGGACCGCGTCGGCGCGGGGACCGTCGCCGTGAGCACGGACCTCGTGACGTGGTCCACGTTCGAGCTGCCGCGCGACGCGGGCTTTTCCGTCGGCCACCTCAGCGGCGCCGTCGGCGACCACGTCGTCTACGTCCAGGTCCTGGACGGGGCCGCGCGGCCCCTCAGCGGGCTGCTCGAGGCGCGCTTTTCCGTCGTCGTCGACCCGGCGTCGCCGACGGCCGCCGCGCTCGACGCCGCGTTCGGCGCGGGCGACGCCGCGGCCGCCGCGCGGCGCTGGTACGCGTCGCGGCCCTGGCAGCTGCCCGCGCGGGGCCGCGCGCTCCGGCGCCTCGGCCGCGAGGCGGCCGCGGCGGCGTCCGAGGCCGCCTGGCGGGGCCTGAGCGAGCTGCCCGGCGACGCGCGCGCGCCGGAGCCCGCGCCGTTCCCCGCGGCGCGACCGCGCGCGCCGGGCGCGCCGGAGCGCTTCGCGAGCTTCCGGTCGCCGCCCAACGGCCTGAGCAACCAGCGGCGCGACATCTACGCCATGGTCATCGTCGCCGCGGCGCTGGGCCGGACCCTCGTGCTGCCGTGGCTCTTCACCTTCGGCGAGGACGGGTCCTCGAAGCGGTTCGTGCCCTTCGGCGACGTCTACGACGTCGACGCCTTCGTCGGCGGCCTCGCGGATCTCGGCGTGCGCGCGACGCCCGACGACCCCGGGGGGCCCAACGGAACGACCTTCGTCCACTGCAGCCACCACCCCTTCGTCGACGCGTCGTGGTACGCGGCTGTGTGGAAATCAAATCTTCAACCCGACTTCAATGTGAGCATATTCGAATGTTTTGACACGAGCACTTCCGCCGTGCTTCGAGAACTCGCCGAGAGCAATCGATTCGTCCAAAAATCAGTCAAATCGACTTCGATTTGACCGAGCTAGAGAATTCTGAAGTTTGGCCCCGACGTCCCCAGCTCACTGGTTGATTTCCACACAGGTACGCGGCGCGCCACGGCGGGAACGCGGCGCCGCGGCTCCACTTCGACTGGCCGCCGGGGTCCTACTCGCAGACGACGATGCTCAACCTCCACGACGAGCCGCTCAAGGTCGCCCAGGTCCGGGCCGCGCTCGTCTTCGCGGCCCGGGTCCGAAACCGCGGCGCCGCGCTCGCCGCCGCCGCGCGCGCCGGCGGCGGCCGGGGCAGGACAAGAGAGCGAAATTCCCAACTTCAAAGGCTCCTCTCTCGGCCGTTTTCCACTCGTTTCGGCTGATTTTTGGACGAGCGATCATCTCTCGGAACGGTCTCGAAGCATGGATGCTTTTTCCAGAACGCGCGCGCGCGGATCACTCACGTTGAAGTGACGTTGAATCATTCTTGTGCTGCCCAGGCGGCGGCGGCGGGCCCCTCGCGTGCCTCCACCTCCGCGTCGAGGCGGACTGGCGGCGGCACGCGGCGCGGTCCGCCAAGGCCACGGGCGCCGCGAACCTCTTCTGGGTCGACGCCGCCGACGCCATGGCGCGGTCCGCGGCCGCGTTCCGCGACCACGGCGTCGCGGCCGTCGAAGTCCGGCGCCGCGGACGGGTGCTTCGACGCCGCGCCGCCGCGCGCGCGCCGGACGCCGCATCCGCGCGCTCCGAGAGATGATCGCCCGTCCAAGCACGAGCCGAAGCGAGGGGGACGCGGCCGCGGCGGGCGCCCGCGACGTCGGGACCGCCGCGCGCCTCCGCGGCCCAGGTCTACCTCGCCGTGGGCAACGCGACGGACGCCGCGCTCGGCGCGTGGCCGGACCCGGCCGCGCCCCTCTACGACCGGCGCAACGCGACGGCGGCCGCCGGCGCCGGCGGCTGGGACGTCGACGGCGACCACCTCCTCGCGCGCGCGGCCGCGCCGGCCCCGCCCGGCGGCGCGCGACCCCCCCCCGATCCCGGCCGCGTCGACGCCGCCTCGGCCGACGTTCGGACGGCGGCGCGCGCGCTCGGACGGCGGCGCGCGCGCCGGACGCGCGGCGCCGAGCCCGGGGTCCCGCGCAGGCGCGCGGCCGTCGACATGGCCGCGTGCGAGCGCGCGGACGTCGTCGCGGGCAACTCGTGGTCGTCCTTCTCCCAGGAGCTCGCGGTCCGCGCCGCGGCGACGGGCCGCGTCGCCCTCGCCTACAACGTGCCCGGCGCCAAAGCCGCGACGCGCGCGGACGGCGGCGTCCTCTCGTGCCCGGCCGACGTCGCGCTCGCCGCCGCGCCGCCGGCGCCGCCGGCGGACGCGCGGCCCCTCTTCCACGTGCCCGTGCGGCTCTGCCTCGACGCCGACGACTGCGGGTCCTGGACGCTCGCCTACGCCGAGGGCGACGACCCGCCGGCGGCCGTCGCGCGGTTCCTCGCGACCGCGCCGCGCGGCGCCGGCGGACGGGGCGCCGCGCGCGCGCCGCGCGCGGCCGACCCGCGCGCGCGCCGCGCAGGCCGTGCCGCCGCGCTTCGGCGCGGACGTCGACCCGGCCGTCGCCGCGGGCCTCGCCGACGCCGTCGCGCGCGAGGCCGCCAAGCGCGACGCGCGCCTCGCGGACCAGGCGGCCTGGGCCGCCGGCGACGCCGACCGCGCGCGCGACCCCGCCGAGCGGCTCCTCGAGGGCCTCGAGGCGGCCGCGGGCCTCGACGGCGCCGCGCGCGCCGCGCTCCTCGCCGCCGCGCGCGACCTCGCCGCCGCGCGCGACGCGGCGCGCCGCGCGGCCGCGGACGCGGCCGCGGCCGCGGGCCGCGCGCGCGTCGCCGCGTACGACGCGCGGCGCGCCGACCTGCCGCCCGCGCGCGAGGGCGAGGCCTGCGCCTTCGCCGGGAGCGCGCTCGCGCGGCTCCACGGCGGGCCGGCGAGCAACGCGCACGCCGCCGGGGCCGCGCCGGACCCGCGGGGCCGCGCGTGGCCCCTGCTCCGGTCCGTGCGGCACCGCGGCGCGCCGCGCGGGAACCGGCCGGCAAAAGCGCGCGCGGGCTCGGCCGCGCCGCGCGCCGCGCGCGCCGATGCTCGGACGGGCCGCGCGCGCCGCGCCGCGCCGCCGCCGCGGCGGGCCGCGCGGCGCGCGCGCCGACGCGGCGCCCGCAGGCTACGACCTCCCGCGGCTCCTCGCGGACCTGGGCCTCGGCGGCGGCCGGGGCGCGGAGCTCGGCGTCTGGCGGGGCAAGTTCTCGGCGCACCTGCTCGCGTCGCTGCCGGACCTCGCGGAGCTGCTCCTCGTCGACGCGTGGGACGTCGTCGACGTCTACCAGTCGCGCGCGGACCAGGACGCGGCGCTCGCCGAGGCGTCGCGCGCCGTCGCGCCCTTCGGGCGCCGCGCGCGCGTGCTGCGGAACTGGACGGCCGACGCGGCGGCGCTCGTCGCGGACGGGAGCCTCGACTTCGTCTACGTCGACGCGTCCCACGACTACCGCAACGCGCGCGCGGACCTCATGGACTGGTGGCCCAAGCTCCGCGTCGGCGGCCTCTTCGCGGGCAACGACTACGCGTCGGGCTACGTGCCCGTCGCGGGCTACACGTTCGGCGTCAAGGACGCCGTCGACGAGTTCGCGGCGGTCCGCGACCTCCGCGTGCACGCGACGCGCGAGGACGAGCCCGGACGGCGCCGCGCCGGACTGGTTCATCCTCAAGTGCGGGGCGTAAGCGCGCCGCCGGGGCCCCGGCGGGGGGGGCGGGGGGGCCGCGCGGGCGCCGCGCGGGCGCGCGCGCGCTCAGGGCGCGGCGCCCCCGTCCTCGGCGCCGCCGTCGGGCTGGTGCGCGTAGTAGTGGGGCTCGCCGAGGGGGGCGCCGGGCTCGCCGAGGTGGGCCGCGGGGGCGACGGCCGCGAGCGCCGCGGCCGCGTCGTCGTCGCCGCCGTCCGCCGCGGGGAGCGCGAAGCCCGGCCGCTGGGCGACGGCCTGGGGGAAGTAGGACGCGTAGCCGCTCTGGAGCTGCTGGAGCGTGTAGGGCAGCGCGAGGCCCCCGGAGTTGGCGAAGTACGCCGCGGCGCCGGGCGGCGCGGGCGCCTCGGACGCGGGCGCGGAGCCCGGCGTCTGGGGGAAGAAGAAGGGCTGCTGGGACCGCTGGGCGGCCTGGAGCTGGGCCTGCTGCTGGAGGAGCGACATCTGCGCGATGGACGCCTGGCTCACGCCGTCCGCGCCGAGCGAGAGGCCCGCGGCGGTCCCCGCGGCGCCGAGGCCGCCGTCGCCGGCCTCCGGCGGCAGGCCGAGCTGGCTCAGCGACACGGGCTGGGCGAGCGTCGAGCCGTCGCTGAGCTGGACGCCGCCGGGGTAGGCGCCGAGCACGGCGACGCCGAGGCCGGGGACGCCGCCGCCGCCGTAGAGGTGCGCCGCGGGCGCGTCGCGCCGCGCGCGCTTGCGCCTGCGCCGAAGTCACATCTTCGACCCGACTTCAATGTGAGCGTAGGCGACCGTTTCGACGCGAGCTCTTCGGCCGTGCTTCGAGAACTCGACGAGAGCAATCGATTCGTCCCAAAATCAGCCGACTCGACTTCGATGGGACCGAGCTCGAGAATTCTCGAGTTTGGTCGGGACGTCCCAAACCGGCGGTCGCATTCGGCGCAGGCTCGCGCCGCGGCTTGCCCTCGCCGTCGAGGGCGTCGCCGTCGGCCGCGAGGCCGCCGTCGTCGCCGTCGGCGCCGCCGGGCCGCGCGGCCTCGGCGGCCTTGGACTGGCGGTTCACGCGGAGGAAGTGCTTCTGCGCGTGGCTCCGGACCTGCGGCTCCGTGCGCGTCATCATGACCTGGGAGATGCGCGTCCAGGACCGGCCGTACTTGGTCATGAGGTCGAGGAACTGCTTGTGCTCCTCCTCGGACCAGCGGCCGTGGCGCATGTTCGGGTTCAGCCTGCGCCGGAAACGACCGATGGCGCGGACCGGTCCGGCGCCGCGTCGCGCCGCTCCGTCTCGGTCGCGTCGGAGTCGACGCGGCTCCTTTTTGGACGGATCGTGGGCTCTCGGCGAGTCCGTTCCAGAGCACCGAACGCTCGCGTCGACCCTGTTCGATACGCACCATGGTGAAGTCGCGGCGCGCGCGCTCGCGTCCCGCGCGGGGTCCCGCGCGCCCGACCGCGCGTACGCCGCGCGCGCCTTGGCGCCGAGCTTGGCGTCGCCGCCGCCGTAGGACGACGCCTGGGCCAGGGCCTGGGCGGCCTGGTACTGGGCCAGCGCCGACGCGTCGAGGCCGTGGGGGTAGGGCGCGCCGTAGGGCGCGCCGCGGACGTCGCCGACGACGGGCGCGTAGGCCGCGAGCGGGCCGCCGGCGCCGCCGACGGCGCCGTAGGGCAGGGCGCCGAGCGACGCGAAGGCGTGGAGCGGGTAGGCCGCCGCGGCGGCCGCGGCGAGCGACTCGGCCGCGTGGCCGTGGCCGTAGTCGAGGCAGGGCGCGGCGAGGCCCGGCGCGGCGGCGCCGCCGTGGGGGGGCGCGCCGAGCAGGCCCGGGGCCCCGCCGAGCAGGCCGGGGGCCCCGCCGAGCACGCCCGGCGCGAGGCCGGCGCCGCCGAGGGCGTCGTAGGACACGCCGCCGACGTCCGGCGGGGGCTCGCCGACGCCGGGCAGCGACGTCGACGCCGCCTCGGCCATGGTCATGCCCGGGGCCGGCGAGCCCAGCCCGTCGCTCCCGCCGTCCAGCGCCGCCTCCATCGGCGCGCCTTGCGACGCCCGCCGGGGTCGACGCACCGGTCCGCGAGACGCCGGCGCGAGCTGCCCGAGGGGAACCGGCGGAATTGAATTTCGGCATGGTTGCAGTCGCGCTAATGGACACGACTTAGCACACCCCTGGCACACCCCCGGCCGCGAGAAGCCCGCGCGGAGGAAGTCGGCGTAGGCGTCGGGCCGGCGCGCGGCCGCGAGGATGCGCGGCGCCTCGTCCGTGACGTGGACGTCGGCGAAGCCCGCGTCGGCGAGGAGGCGCGCGAGCGCGCGCGGCTCGGGGAGGAAGTAGTTGTAGCCCGGCTCGCCCGCGCCCCAGTACGCGACGACGGCGCCGCCGGGCGCCGCGCGCTCCGACGTCGCCGCGGTCTCGAGGAGGAGCAGCCCGCCCGGCCGGAGCGCGTTGTGGAGGAGGCGGAGCGCGAGGAGCGGGTCCGTGACCTGTGTGCAAATCAACCAGTGAGCTGGGACGTCGGGGCCAAACTTCAGAATTCTCTAGCTCGGTCACATCGAAGTCGATTCGGCTGATTTTTGGACGGATCGATTGCTCTCGTCGAGTTCTCGAAGCACAGCCGAAGAGGCTGGTCCGAACCGTTCGATTACGCTCACATTGAAGTCGGGTTGAAGGTTTGGAATCCACACAGTCCGTGACGTGGTAGAGCACGCCGCTGCAGACGACGACGTCGAAGGCGCCGTAGTGCGGCGAGGACGCGTCGTCGAAGAGGCCCGGCGCGTAGAGGCTCGCCGCGAGGGGCTCGACGACGCGCTCGAGGCCCAGGGCCGCCGCGAGGATGCCCGCCGCGCGCGCCGCGAGCGCGTTCTCCTCGAGCGCGACGACGCGCCTGCGCCGACGTCGCATCTTCGACCCGACTGCGACGTGCGCGTACGCGACCGCTTCGACGCGACGTCTTCGGCTCTGCTTCGAGCGCTCGACGAGAGCCATCGACGCGTCCAAAAATCAGCCGCATCGACGTCGATTCGACCGAGCGAGCGAGTTCTGAAGTTTGGTGGGGAAGCCCCGGACCAGTGGTCGACTCCGGCGCAGCGACGCGCGCCGCGCCGAGCGCCGCGAAGAGGAGCGAGGACGCGCCCGTCGCCGCGCCGACGTCGAGGACGTCGAGGCCGTCGAGGCGCGCCGGTAGGCCGAAGACGTCGGCGTAGGCGGCCCAGAGCGTCAGGTAGCGGTGGCCCATCGTCGTGCCCGTCACGCGGAGCGGCCCCACGGCGACGTCGTGCGCCCAGGCGAAGTCGACGGTCAGCGCGCGCTGCCGCGCCGCGTCGACGTACCAGGACGCGTCGCCCGCGCCTGGGCAGGACAAGGGTGATTCAACGTCGCTTCAACGTGAGTGTTCCGCGCGCGCGCGTTCCGAAAAAAGCATCTACGCTTCGAGACCGTTCCGAGAGATGATCGCTCGTCCAAAAATCAGCCGAAACGAGTGGAAAACGGCCGAGATATGAGCCTTTGAAGTTGGGAATGTCGCTCTCTTGTGCTGCCCTGGCCCGCGCCGCGGAGCGCCTCGAGGGCGCGCGCGACGTCGCCCCAGGTCGCGTAGGCGCCGCCCGGCGGCGCGTCGCGCGCCGACGGCGCGCCCGGCGCGAACGTCGCGTTGAAGAGCGCCGCGAGGCGCTCGCACGCGCCGCGGCGCCGGGCGGCCATGTCGGCGCAGCGCAGGCCCCCGACGCTGTGGCCGCCGCCGGCGCCGTCCGGCGGCGCGAAGCGCACGGCGACGCCGCGCCACGCCGACGGCCGCGGCGCCGGCGCGCCGCACCGCGCCGCGACGGTGTCCGGCGCCGCGGGGCCGAGGCGCCGCGCGTTGCCGCCGCGCCAGGTCCGCGCGAGCGCCGCGGCGTCGACGCGGGCCGCTTCGAGGCCCGCGGCGGCGTAGAGCCCCGCGAGCGCGGCGCCGAAGTCCGCGTCGAAGAGCTCGTAGGCGACGACGCGGCGCCGCCTGCGCGGAACTCAAATCTTCCACCCGACTTCAATGTGGGCGTATGCGGCCGTTGCGACGCGAGCTCTTCCGCCGTGCTTCGAGAACTCGACGAGAGCGATCGATTCGTCCCAAAATCAGCCGAATCGACATCGATGTGACGGAGCTCGAGGGTTCTGAAGTTCGGTCGGGACCCCCCGAACCGGCGGTCGATTTCCACGCGGGGCGCCGCGGCAGCCGCGCGAGCTGGTTCCGCAGCTCCGCGAGGCAGACGTCGACGGCGTCGCCGCCGAGGGGCGCGGGGCACGCGCCGGGCCGCCAGCGGAAGCGCCGCTCGGCGACGCCCTCCTGGTCGAACGCGTGGAAGTCCGTCTCGACCGAAACCGCCGGCGGCCGGAGGTAGTCGAAGCCCGCGGGCGTCGCGCAGAAGAGCCGCTCGCGGAGCGCGGCGTCGGCGATGGTCAGCCCGCCGTCGCTCCGGATCGACCGCTCGTTCGCCGTCCGGTCGCGCGCGACCC